CATTGAGAACGAACCGGTAGAATGAATGTGTTCCATTGAGCTTCGTGATACTCTGCAGTCTTCTGAATGTGTACGTTGCTCTTGTTATAATTTGAATTTAATTTTATTTTAATTTTCCATTATATGATATTAAATATCGCATNAATTTGTATGTGACTTTTAATAAGTTTGTCTAGAATGTAATTCATTCTTCTGCACTGTGCTGTGTCTGTAATTGGCCTTGCGGCTGTTGACTCGGCACATTAATAATAAAGAATTGAATTGAATTGAATTATCATCACTATTATTATTCAGTATTCCTTCGAGACTTGAGCCTTCAGCTAGGTGAGATATGTTAAATAAAACATATATATCTGTCATTCTCCGATGTTGCTCCCAGAAGCGCTCTTTCCTTTGAGGATATTTTTCCTTTCTTTGTTCTGTTTAATTTATTATTACTATTAGTATATCACTTCAAATGTTCTTTTTTTAGTTTTTAGGTATACATACATTTAAGAGTTCTCCTCTTACAGGCTACTCGGTGTTGGGAAACACTCAAATAAGAAGTAAAAAACAAATGTACAATGGTATTGCACTCAAAAGGTCTCTTTAACCAGTTACATTTGTCGATCATGATATTGTGACGAAGAAAAAACGAAAGAGAAATTAATGAAATAAATAGCACAGGAATTACAACCCATAAGAGTAAATGTATCCTACCGCAACTTTCTTCGTTATGACTGAAAAAGAACATTAGAAGGTGAAAACTGGTTTCACGTTCTGTAAGGTTTTAAATCCACGTGCATGCCCTGACAGACAAATTGTCTAGATTAATGAGTATATTTTTATTACAGTATTACCGTTTATGTAAAATAAATATTTTATTCAATAAGTATAACACATTTTCCACAAGGGATTGAAACGATCCAATACAACAAAGATTTCCAACAGATATCGTGTTTGATTCCAAAAGAAGGTGGATCTTAAGCAAGAAGTCATGCAGACGTGTCATTCTGATTTCCGCAAATTAAGTAATTAAGATGAATATACATTACAGGAACTGCTCAGAACGAATATATGATATATTGGGCAAGTGCTCAGTAGTCCTACTTCGTGTTCGAGAGTATCTGCGTTCTAATCTCGATCTTGGGGATATCTGTTCTCTATTACATTTTCATAAATTTCCTTAGTCACGTCAAGAAACTCCAGGAAAATTCTGAAACACGACCTTAAATCCTATCACAGTGACTTCCCTCCAACTCCTCCCTAATTATTAGTCATTCACAAATCACCCTACCGTTTCACGTTCTATAACATAGTCAGCTGATAAGACGTCTTGAAATAAAATTAATTAATATAACCGAATATGTTGAAAGTGCATCAATTTCTGTAATCATTTTATGATTGTGAACATGAAAGTAAGCATGATTGCCGGCTTTCTATGGACTGGCTTTTCTAATTTATGACGGCATCTCACATTTATTTATTTATTTATTTATTTATTCTTAATTTTACAATACTCTCAGTAGGACAGATTATATAACATTTCACGAGCTGTTGTTTCAAATAAATATGGTGCACGTTAAGTATCTCTGTCAATAAATTTTGTAGAAAGAGTTTTCAGTATATTAGCTGAGTGGAAAGAACTCAACTGCGTAGGGCTCCAAACGTATGAGAATATTATATCTCATTATATCCTTAAAGGGCCAACTAGTTCTGGCACTGGGAGGAGTGGTAGCAAGAGGTCTAATGAGCCTGCTCTTTGCTAGGAGATCTACTTCGCAGTAGGAAAAAGAAGCTAACCGCTCACCACACAAACTCAAGACTGGTCATACTGTTAACTGCAAGCACAGGGATTGCTCAATCTGTAAGGCAGGAAGGAGGCGAGTCTCATCAGAGAGTTGTTTACGGCGCTGTGAGGCAGTGCTGACGCAAAGAGACGGATGTGGTCTCATTTAATTACCTGTATTTTTACGATGTTCCATGACGTGGTATTGACGCAATGGGTCACTCATCTAAAAGAGTGTCTTCCGAACTTGTGTATGTGTACAGTGAAACCTCACTAATTTGAACCTCAGTTATTCAGAAATTGTGATAGTTCGGACAACCGTTTTGTGCGCATCACAGCCTCCATGAACATACTGCCGCCATCAGCAAGATGTAGTAAAAAAAAAAAGCAGTACTGAAAAAGAACGCAGACCAAAATAAGTTCATTTTTTCAAATACGGTCTCAGTAAAATTGACTGACGTCAGAACTTACATTTTTACATTTTATGAAAGTAAACTATTTTAGAACCGAAGTGAATGGAGTTCGTGGAGGTAGGCCTAGGCCCACTGGGGCTGTAGTGCCAAGGGGGGGGGGAACTATTTTCGATATGAAATCTAAGTTTCAAAATAAGGTTGTGTTACCTAAAGAGGCACGTGAATTCCATTTTATAACTTCCCTGAACATATTTCAGTAAGAATTCTATAATTTGTATTTTCACTAATTCCGAAAAGGTTTCGCTTCCAACTAATCCGAATTACATAACACTTATGCAGAACACTATCATAACCGGACATGATGCACTTAAACACTTTCGTGGTACATCACATTGGTTGGTTTATAATTGCTTAATTACTTAACTATAAAATAAAAATTTATGTAGCTAATTATGCTAATATTAAAACATATGTGGAAGCGACGAATCAGAAGGAATTGGTCTTGGACTGTTCACGATACCATCCTACAATTAGCTAGGAGAATTCCGGAACACCATGAAAAACTTCAGTCAGAATAACTGGTCGAGATTCAATGCGGGAAATCTCTTAGGTAATCGGGGACGTTCTATTTCAACTAAATATTCGCAATATAGAGGTAGCCGGGATAGTGCACTCGGTATAGCGACTGACTACGAGCGGGAAGACGGAGAGTTCGGAGTTCGAGTCCCGGTATGGTCAAGAATTTTTACTTCTCCATGTCGTCCAGAACGGCTCTGGGTTCACCTAACCTCCTATATAACGTGTAACGGGGGCTCTTTCCCGGGATTAAAGCGGCCGGGGCGTGAAGCTGACCACTATCTCCAATTAGTGCCGAGTCAAGAAAATGTTGATCTATACATCCACTCCCCCACACGTCTTCAAGGCGTAGTGTTTAATTAATTAAGCACAGGGACAACTTTACCTTTAATTTGCAATATGGAGAAATGTTCTCCTTGAAACAAGTAGTTTATGTTCTGCACATTTATGATAAATTAATTATATATAATATTTAGTACGATGTACCTGTAATCATATTCTTAGCTTTCGTCTTTCCTGTACATCTTCAGCTTCTTAACAGATTATTAATTCCATAGCTACGAGTATAATGGGGTTCTGAACAAAATATGTGTAATGTCTTGGGTACATACAAATGTTAACGCCACATCTGAAACTGACAATCCCAGCGGCAATAAACATTTAACAGCATCAGGGAGCTAACTCTAAATTTCGATTGCACAATTTTTACAGTCTCGAACTTTGCTGCTATTCTTACCTTATCTCACTGACTTAGATGCTTATTTACTTCAGATGCACGCTTGTTGTTGCAACAAGCTTCAAACTACGGAACTTGCACGTTGCTAACACCACATCTTCGCTAAGAAGCTAATAGTTCCTCAGCTGGTCAAGATAATCTTTAACTTCATGGACCCCAAATGTTCATTACCATGTTCACAGCCGCTCGCCACTACCCTGAGCCAGATATTTCCAGTTCAAACCCTTACAGCGTGCTTGAAAATAAAGTTATGCCTCCCTACCAAACTGTGTATTTAACTTTCGGATTTTACAAAGTAGAGTTTGTATGAAGAAAGCAGTCTTCTGGGATTTGGCACCGTGTATATGTGGTGTTAACCGACGTTTCGGAGGAATGTATCGCCTCCATCTTCAGGGTAGAAGGAAAAATATAAGGTCTCTTCTCCTGTGGATTCTTATATTTTTCCTTCTACCCTGAAGATGGAGGGGATACGTTCCTCCGAAACGTCGATTAACACCACATATACACGGTGCCAAATCCCAGAAGACTGCTTTCTTCATAGTCACCGCCGTGAAAACCTCAAATCTTACATAGAGTTTGTATGTTTGTGGTTCCGTGCCTATATGTTGGTTTTCTTACTAGCATATGTTATATTACTCGTACAGTGAATGGCAATATTATTACGGCTGATGGACCGGAAAGGACGTAGGTGGAACTGGACCTGCCTTATTTCAACTCTTAGAATCTCTATCTCTACGCGTGAGGCAGGGTATATGTCCCTATAGTCTGTCATTCAAAGCTACATACTCGTAAACTTATATTAAAACGGTAAAAAGGTAACATTTTCGCTGTGCTTAATTATTTAAGCACTACGCCTTTCAGACGAATGGAGGAGTAACCTCAGCACTAAATGGAAGTGAGCAGTCATCTTCAAGCCCCGGCCTCCTTAACCCCGCGGAAAAGTCCCCGGTTCTGATTGGATAGGAGGCAGGGTGGGCTCCACAGCCGGTTTGGACATTGTAGAGAATAGAAAAATCTCTAGCGCCTGTCCGAAATGGAATCCCGGTCGTCCAGCCAGTGACCTGTCGTTATGCTACCGGGCTCCAATTTTATATTAATGAAAACAAAAACGTACATGACAATTCACATAAAATGTTACTCATTTTTTATGAAACAAAACAACTATGAACATTATTGAGGCGTTGTCCCAATATATTCTTGCAGGAATTTGCGAGAAACACACAAAAAGACTATACTGTTAGGTTAAATATTCGGACTCGGGACCTCCAGAATATGAAGCAAAAATTCCTACTGGTCACGACATTGTGACTCACCACGAAAGTAAGAATATTCGTGTATCAGTTGTGGGGACGCGACCCAGTGCCGCGGTTACTGTAACCTGTTTCAGTAACACTGACATCATTACAACAGGAGGCGAGAAGACAATGGGCTGCTACCGCCTCCCCGCTCGCGCCCCCGCTCGGCAAGCTAATCCCGCTCTGTGCGCGGACCGTCTAACCTGCCGCTGTTACCGCCACTCGGCCGCAGTGTTGTGACGGCCGGCACGTCAGTGGGTCTTGCTCGTAATGCATTTCTCTGCAGAATGCGCCAACTGCCACTCGTCACGCTGTTCCTCCAACCGCGGGAGGGAAGTCACCCTCCTTACGCTCAATAAACTTATCATGCCATTCATAACGTCTGTCAGTAAGGATCAAAATTGCAAATCGTAATATTAAAATAGTCTACAGGAGGAAGTAAACTGAAACAAGTTTTGTAGCTTTTTTTTTTTTTGCGCCCTCCATAAATTGAGACGAAATGGGTTCACGTCTGTACTCAACACCGGTCCGAGAGACAGTGCACAACGGTGAGAACTGCTGGTAACGTAAGTGATAATACAAGTATCATTAAAAATTAAACTGAATAAATACAACGTTTTGAAATTCAGTACACTAATTTACATCATCTGCTAAGCTAAGAAACGCCACAGAACTGCTGCTAATAACAAACAAAACTGATATCTTACATATTAACGTGTGACATGGATGTTAAGAATCACTTCGTGTTTAAGAACTTACGGTGTTGTTAAGAGCATCGAAGAAGGCTTCGGATTTTGTGAGAGTGTTTCGTGTTTAAAACGCAATGGGTGCTGTAGGAATGCACCTCACGTGGCTGGTTGTTGTGCTGCTGTCTGTACGTACCCACCACGTGGTAACGTCGTCTCTGCAAGTGGAAGGCGGGAGCAGACCGATGCGAGCACACCAGGGTAAGTGGCTTAATGACGCGAAATGATTTGCTGTGAGGCTTATGGAAACGATAGTGTATACATTAGAATATCTGTGACTGGTAAACTTAGAAGGAAAAAGGCCACGTATGTAATTGTAAGGCTTTTTTTTTTTTTTGCAAAATGCAGTGAAAAATGGAGGAATGTATGTCAGTCTGTCATTCGGGGTTGTTGTCCGTCAGTCTGCATGTTTTAGCTTCGTAACCACTTATGGATATGCATGAAATTTTGTTATGTTCAAATTCTTCGAACGACAGTAACAATGTTGTATAAAATTCAAAAAGATTTATGAAAGGATGAAATTCGGAGAATNGTATGAATCTTTGACTCCAATATTAAGGGAGAACGCTATGTACTATTATTTATATATATATATATATTTCTTTCATCCTGTTGTGTACATTAATTTAGGAGTTTGTGCCGTAACAACACGTTGTAGCATGTATCCTAATTAACTTATTTCGGGTGGATACAAGTTTCACCGAAAAACACCTATGATCAGCAAAATTCAGTTCACAAAAAAGAAGCAAGCGCAGTGCAATACACCTGCAGTACACCACATATTCATATTCACAGATAACCGTCAACCTAAACATTCTGCCTTAACAATGGCCATAAAATAGTACTACGTAACTTGTCAGTACTACGTATCAACATTTCCCGCTGCTCCTACGTAGACACATGAGCTGGGCACGCGGAAGAAAACACGAAGATATTCCAACCACATTGCAATAGTACTAATCATACTAACTAAATATAACGCGTAAATTCACACAAAACAAATAAAACATATCGCTGCTTAGCATCGGATATCATGTATTGTTGTCAGGCGTGTCAACAAATACATTGCCTAGCAATGGACGCCCTATTGTCGCGCATTCATTCCTGTTATATTGTTTACGCATTTGTCTCCTAAAATCGGCCCAATGTCACAATGTATATCAATGCCATTTTAAGCTTTTTAACGAATATTTTAGTGGATTATTAAGGTGGATTAGTGTCATCTTGCATAATAGACGGAAGTAGACTACAAGAGATGCCTCAGTGCAACAGGATGCTGAACTATAATATACTTACATGTAGTAATATTTTACACATTTTGTTTTTTATAACAGATAAAATTATTATTTCCAGCTGCGTGGTGGTATAGTGGCTAATTATTTCAGCACAGGAACAAGTTTAAATTTTACTGCGCATTCCCCAGTGAACGACATATTCTCGTATTTCTTATATTTTGTCTATCACGTCTTCTATTTCAGTACTATAAAGGTCCTTCATAAGAATATTCTGTGGTGTTACAGACGTATAATCTGTTAATATACACGTATATTAACTCTTGACACATGCGTATGATGTTGGCACCTCGTAAGAATATTCTGTGGTGTTAAAATGTATAAAAACTCCTGACACACGCTCATCATGTTGGCGCCATGTATGAATTCCCAGCATTTCAGCTTCATGAAATGGGCGATTGGTTTATTATTTATTAAGAATTTCCAGCAAGATTTTGGAGAGAGAATTTATGAAATGTTATGGGAGAACAGTTATGGATGCAAATGTCGTAGTAACCACCAGGAAGAACCTCGGAATTCTGAAAGCAATCTCGCAGGACAACTGAGTAACAGGACACGCTCAAACAAAAATATTGACATGAATGCTTCTCTTTAGGACCGTTGAATAGAAGGTCTTTATCTGAAAACACATGAGATTATTGGACTGATTCCTTCGCATGTCTTCTTGTGGACAGCTTATGTCTGGAAAATAATAAAAAAATGGAATATGTTGTTAGATAAAAGGAGGGTCACACTCATATCCCTGGCTTGCAGCATAATCTAATTAATCATTCGGTCTACTAGTGGCTTGTAACAGCAAAAGCTACACACCCTAATGTTAAGTGAAATATCTGTAGGGAGTTTAACGAAAACTGTGAATGATATTTCCAGTGTTGTCAATAAAAATTAAACGTACAGACTACCAGAGAAGTGAAACTGAGATATCCATGATTTCAAGGTTAATTTAATACCGTAATTTGTCAACCTTCGTGTATTTGATTGCAACACGTTTATCTCTCTCCGACATTAAGGAGACACTAGCTACCGAATGAGGGGCACTACACATCGCAGACTCTTCTGTTAGCATTTCAGTTCCTGGAAACCCAATCAGAATTATACAGTTTCTTTCTGCTTTGCCGGTTAAGGTTCGGCCACACAGAGCGCTATGCTATGTTCGCTACGTACGCTACGTACACTCTGCGACGCAGCTAACATAGCGTACGTAGCGTAAGGAAGTCTGTGTGGCCAGGCACATTGGCAATAAAGGGAGATATTCTTCTGTTCGTATAGCGAACATAGCGTACGTAGCGTGCGTCGCGTACGTAGCGCTCTGTCTGGCCGAACCTTTAGAGCTTCTGGTTTGTTCCTTCCAGAACCAATTCTGATAAAAAGAATATTTGGAAAGTTTATGGTAGGCATGATTCTTGTGCGAGGTTCAACCTAACCTAAGGCCTCCGCCTCTACAAGAAAAGTAACTACAGAAAAACACCGTCATTTATCGCTCAGGAGTAATTAAATGACTTTAACTAGCAACGTTACTTGATAACCTGGTCATTGATAGCTAGTAAATGGTGTCAACGTTTTAGGACTCAGTTATGTGACTATCAGTATCAACTTCATGCTTTTGGTTCTGTACGTCTCTTCTAATATTAGTCCGTATCGTCACGTGACTGAGTGACTGTAGATGGGTTTCAATGGGTTGGTGGATTTATTGAATTCTTACAGAACGTAACTACAAGTAGCTATGACGCTATCGCTGATTCACACGCTCTGCCGTTTACTACGGCACGCACTAAGTCTTTTCAGTCTGCTGTGTCTACACTGGTCGTTGTCTAGTAGTAGCTTCCAACGGCGAACCTTCCCCTAAAATTAGAAAATTCGCTTTGTGGGGGATGAAGTCCAGCTGGGTCCATTCGGCACGGCGGCCACTGATTGGCCAATTGTACCTGCGTCGGGTGATTATGATGATGGAGAATTTGGTGGAATGAAGATTGGCACGGGAAACCGAAATACTCGGAGAAAACTTGCCCCAGCGCCACATTGTCCACCACAAATTCCACTTCACCAGACCCGGGATCGAACTCGGGCTGCCGCGGTGAGAAGCCAGCGACTAACCGCTTGAGCTACGGCGCGACCTTAACCTTCCCCTTACTCCGTGTTCCTGAACTGTCCCCGTGCCTCACCTCCAGCGTCTAACAAAACAGCCCACAAGAACTGAACCGCAGCGGTCATTAACTCACTCAGCAACCAACTTGCTCCACTTCACTCAACTCAGTCGAACTCAAAGTCAAAGTCACAGTGCGACTGACGGTCGGTCAATCAGTAAGTATTTGTGTCGAGCACCATCTGGGGCTCATGACCAGGCATTTGTTATTGTTTGACACGGTCTTGTTTTCATGGGGTGCCCTCTCTGACGAGAGGACGGGTTTGTCTTTTGTATATGCTGCTGGCCATTACCAGCGCAGTCTTTCTCGGGTCCGAGTCCCTTGGGACTCGTGACCATATTTTACTGTGTCAGAATTGAGACTTCGCTTTTCTACGCCTCCTACGACTGGCAGGGTCACGGTGAAGGTGAACTAATTCCACTGACAGCTTATAACATATCGGCATGGACCGAGCAGAAAACATCGTTCCAACAGTTCTTATAACATTGCGTCACGCAACTGTCGCACGGACCGCGGAGAGAACACCACTTTCAAGTCATTTCATTAGTGCGTATTAGAAATCTCTTTCCTAGCAACGGGAGTTGTTAACAAAATCTTTACTTAATAACGGGTCTGCATCCTGTTCCAAACCGGACGACATTGGCAGGCTTGTTTAGGGATTTGACATTTACGATTAAGCTGAAGCTGTGATAGTATTTTGAGGTATTCAGAGACTTCTGACGCTCTCATGCCTTTCTGCTGGTGATTCATTGTGCCACTCATTGTCCTATTCTCAGCACCCAACACAATGCCGTTAAGCAACACCATATTATGTATCTTCTGTTTAAACGTTCGTATAAATTACGGGACTATTTTTTTTTTTCTGTGGAGCTACAGCCCCAATTTGGGCCTAGGCCTACCTCCATGAGACTCTCCGTTTCACTTCGGTTTTTACTAGATCTTAGACATTCGGTAGGACTCCTTGGGCGAGTGATCAGCTCGTCGCAAGGCCTCTGCCTGTACAACACAGAAAAACGCACATAAACATCCATGTCCTGAGTGGGATTCGAACCCACGATCCCGGCTTCCGAGCGAGCGAAGACAGTGCATGCCTTAGACCGCTCAGCTACCGTGACCGACACCTGAATATATAGAAGTGCCTAAATCCAATGAGAATTAGAGGTCTCCTGCAGCCCCTTCTGCCTGTCAAGGAACGTACAAAGTGTCTGTTATCTTTCTACACACCCTCGGATTTGCACAATGCTGTTATATTCTTCAGTACCATAATGGCTGTTCTTATAGGATTTATAGGATGTACAGAAGTGGGATATTTGCCGGGGGTAACTCAGTATAGCGATGGTCTGCAGACTAGACGGTTGGGGATCAGTTCGCGGCAGGAGCAAGGGACATTTCTCTTCTTCACAGCGTCCAAACCGGCTTTGGTCCCTATCCAGTCTCCTGTCAAATGGGTACTGTGAGATATGGATGGAACGTGAAGTTGATGACTCACGTCCATCTAGTGCCGAGGTCAAGAATTGTGGAGCTATATTTTCACCCCCCCCCCATACGTATTTATGGCGTGGTGCTTAATCAATTCAACACACTCACAACTTTACCTATACCTTACTGGAAATTGAACATAATCTGTGACATGCCTAATACATAACTTACTTCGTGTACCAGAGGCCATCTTGAGTAGCTAATGGTCACCCAGCCATTAGAGCATAGCCCGCCTTTTATGGAACCCAAAAGTTCTTTACTGTCTTCACAAGGTTCCTATTATTGG